TACTGTTAACAGCACAATATGTAATGCAGAACTTCAGGACTTCAGTTATTTGTCATGTATTTTCTGTATGTATATAGCACTAACTGTTTATTCTGTAAAAGGCTGCATTTAAAATTGTAATACAGTGTTTTAAGGGGACATGTATATTGATCATGAATAAAGTGGCCACAGCAGAATCTTAATATTAAACTTGGTTGTGCCTTTGAAAGACGGAAAAGAAATGCAGTGTCTGTCTAAGGCACTATATTTCACAGGTTTTTGAAGAAATCCAACCAACTTTCTTAAATGTGATCACTTCCAGCTATTTGGAACAGATGTAGACTAGGGGCCAGGGGTTTGACACAAAGGAGAAGGTTAAGCTTAGATTTTGGTTAGTGATGGTCATTGTTCAACATAAATACATAGTTGGACTCCATAGTTACAACTGCAAACAGTCCTGTGATGAACAATAGTTTCTTTCAAGATACTTGATGCTTTTTTGAGAATACAGCAATAAATTGCTGAAAGAACAAAAATGGAACAGAAGTCTTCTCTCCAATGAAAGTTTATTCCTGAAATTTTGAAAGTGAAAATTGTTATATTTCAATTAATAGTGATTTTGAATCATTGGAAACCCTTACTGGTGTTTGGTTGGTTTTACTTGTTGTTTATTTGCTTGTTTCAGCAGAGTACAGTTAATGTAAGAGACAAGGACTATATTTGTCTGTGAAATGCAAGTAATCCATATTTTTTGTAAGCGTGCTTTTTTTAAAGTATTTTTTAGCCACTCGTGCTATAAATTTGAATGCTTTCCTTTTAAATCACCTATAGCATGCTATTGGTTTAGATGCTGTATTTAAAGGATCTTTTTTTCTAAAGCTGATTTGCAGTTTTTAGCAGCTCAGGATTTGAAAGGCAAATCAATCTACTAGAAGGAACGACAAATTTCTTGAAGTAAGACCTCCCAGTATGCCTGTTTGGGTGGCCCTAGCTGATTATGGCCTGTGAAAATGCGTGGTCATGCATCTGAATGTTTTTGGTTGCTGTTAAAGAGTTTTGCTTAATTGAGAAATGTAAACAGTTTGGCTGTGTTTATTCATAAATTATGAATGCATATATATTTCAAGTTCTCTTGCTAGGATGTTCTGTGAAAAAGTTCTTGGAGTAAGCAATAGGTAGCAGCTTTGACTGATGAATTCAGAAATACGAAGTACCCCATAGAGTGCTATAATAGCTGAGTCTGAGATTCAGGGACAATTAAAGCTATATAAATAATTATATTGCAAGAGTATTTGGATTGGTCTAACATGAATGTTTTTATAAGGTACTCTATATGATTGATCTTGAAATTATTGCAAACTTTGGGATACTACTACGAATAAGATTATCTGGATAAGTGGAAATTATTTGTATAGGAAGTGAGAATTTTTTATATTTACTAGCAAACTTATACCCCAAAAGCTGCTTCTCTGCTGGATTTTGTAGGAGTGCTGCTTGGCCTTACTGAAGAGACAGAGATTTACTTTCCTTGTCTGATATATTTTTCAGAGATTTCCTTCCTAGATTAAAAGGAGGAACTTTATTTGTAAATAAAGGAACGCTAAATGTTGACTTCTGGCTTTTGAGGAATTGAAAACTTGGTGTGTTACAGAAAACAGGAGCAGAGTTCTGGATTTCCTTTTTTTAAAAGTTGTTTAGTATATTCTGCAGTTTCTAGCAACAGTGTGGAACTGGATTGCATTAATGAGACAGAAGGGGGGAAAGCATACTGTTCTGTGCCACATTACTGGATCTCAGTTTTTAGATGTAATTTTTTTTAATTGACAACGATATGGGAAAATGTTGAAGACTGTCATTTTTGCATCTGGTTGAACTATTCTGGTACTACTAATCTCCTGTGTGATTTAGAAAACAGCCACAAATTTCAGACTGTTTTATTACTGAAAACCATTACAGACAGTGACAAGAATATTTGGAAAAATTTCTTCATGGAAAGGGTTGTCAAGCACTAGAACAAGCTGCCCAGGGAAAAGGTGGAGTCACCACACCTGGAAGTATTTAAAAGACATGTAGATGTGGCACTTAGGGACATGGTTTAGTGGTGGGGTTGGCAGTGTAACGTTATCAGCTGGACTCAGTGATCTTAGAGGTCTTTTTGCAACCTAAACAATTCTACGATTCTAAGAGTTTCTAGACAGTGTTCTGAAGATGTAATGTACTAGGCACAGAGGCTGACTTTCTTCAGCCTGTTGCGACTATGTTAAGCCTCCCTTGCTATCACTTATTGTAATGCAGAGCTGCTAAATTGGGTAGAAAACCATTAGTGGCACAGTAGTATTTAAAATTGTCATGGGTTATCCAAATGAGCTCTTGAAACAGAGTTGTTTGTTGTTGTGGCAGGTCTGAACCTGTTCAATAAATACCTTGGTTCATGTGCAGTAATGGAATGATCCAGCTTTCAAGTTTCTATTCCATTATTAAAAATGCCAAGGATTCAAATGCCCATTTGAATCTCCCTTGTTTTTGTGCTGGGAATGATGGGTCATGCTCCATAGAGAGGGATGAAGACAGAAACTCCATTGACCTTTAGGGTGTGTCTTACTTGTAGTAATAATGCTTTCTTGGTACTGAGTTTTGATAACACTAAATCAAGGCTGTCGTTTCCTTAGAAAGTCAAGTGGAAAATGTTGGCCTACTTTAGACAAGGAAAAATTGGACTTAACATAAATAAAAATCAGGGTAGAAGAGGCAAGAAAAAAGTCTTTTTTTTTCTTGCTTATATTAGTACCTCTAAAAATGTCAGTAAAGAAGCTCCAAATTATTTCTGAGACGACTGGTTTTTTGTCATTGTCTCATCAATGAGTAACTCCTTGAACATTTTCATGGTGAAATTTACTTACATATTTATTTCCATTCTACACAATTCAAACCAATCAAAACCTGAAAACAAATATGTGGATATCCATGTTTTTCCATTTTAAACATAAAGTTCCCTGAATAAATGATATTAAAAGATTTATTTAAAATGTAAAATTTATGAAAACATTTTCTTGGATTTTGAAATTAATCATAGAAAGTAAATATAGTATTTATTGATATAATTTTTTGGTTCAAATGCATTGTGTGATTAACTAGTTTCTCTTAACTCTCCTAGGAAAGCAGTGGATACCTGGAATTTTATATATAAACTCGTGCAATGTTCAAGATAATATGTGGTGCATCACTGAATGCAAAGGCTTAGACAGGAGCTTGCCAAGTTTTAGAATTAGTTGATGTATTTATTCTAACCAACTGTTTAGTGATGATAAGCATAGATAATTAAGTTTGAGTAATCTATTTGAAGAACAAATTTATTTTTTAGTTGTCTTCTGGACAGTGAGTTCTCTTTTACACAAGATTTATAAAGGACTTTGGGGACTACTATGTGTTTATAATTGTTTAAAACCTCTGTTGCGGGCACACTTGTTTGTTCAGTTTGTGACACTGTCCAGCTGTGGTTTTTGAACTCATAAACTCAGACCTTCAGGTGGATAAGCATTATCATTATTAATTTTAGGGAGTTCATGAACCAGCCAAACATCTTCTCTATCTTAATTGTGTGTACTGCTGTGTGGATAAAACATGTATGTTAAGGACAAAGTAATTCCTAAGTAAGACTTGGTGGAATTTTATCTTGTGTAGGGATGAACTGGCTGATCTAGAAAATCATATGTAGTAGAGTTTCCATCAGCTAAATAGGAATTAATTTCTACCCCAAGATGTGCTAGTGGATTGTAGCTTTACATGTCAGATAGAAGTTTCTAAGTATTTTACGTATATTGAGTTAAATATGACAAATATACCAGCCCCGGATAACACACCTGAAATACAATTTTGTGACTTAAATTGCTTAAGAAATCCTAGGTATTTTGTATGGTTTGGTTTTAATGTAAACCCAAGTCTTTTATTGGATGCTAGGGCAGAAACATTTTCATTTTATGTGTGGTGATAGGATTCAAAACAAGCCATATGAATTTGAAAGCAAAATAATTTAAGAGAGGGGAAAAGAAGGCCATTTATTGGAGTTTAGTCTCAGTTCTGCTGCAGGATGATCCAGGGAGGTCTCCCATAACTCTGGATCTGCTGGTTGTCTGAAATCTGCGTGCCAAATCTGCTCTTTGCCTCAGCATTGATGATTGAATTATTTCATTAGGAATTAAGGGTGTACTGCTGATACTTCCAGTGCTGTGTACTCTGAATAGTGCTGTACACAGCACTGAGCTATGTGCATTGTCAGCTAAGGGGAAGTCTCTGCCCCACTTGGCACACAGTCTCCTTCAGGCAGAGAATCCTCCTCTTTCTGATTTGTCTTTTCCTGATGCATTCTATCTGATTTGAGGCTTTTTTTATGTAAAATTGAATGTCAGTCTACCGGTGATGGGAGAATATTCAAAGGTGCTAAAAAGGAGGATACAAAATCTTAGTCAGTACGTGGTAGCCACACATTGACCATCAGCCAGCACCACAGAGGGTAGGCACATAATATTGCTGCAAGAGGAGGCAGGCTCACTGCCTTCCTGAGAAGCCTTTTCTTCTCTGCCCGTTGCTGTGATGGAGGAAACGTTGCTGCTCTACAATGTAGTAAAGCCTTAAGTTAATAGGATTTTATGTTTAATGCAGGCTGATGTGACTCTTTCACATGGTCACTCTATTGTTAACTTCAGCAGTGTGAATGTAAGCAGCTCTTCCATCCCAGTTCACAGACCTCTCACTAGAAATTAACTGAGGGGGAAAAAAACATACAAAATCAAAGACAGAAGTTCTGCAGATGTAATTAGGGTCCTTTTGTGCCTCCTGCCTGGCAGTACATTCAGGTGAGAGTCTACTGAATGGTATTGCAGTTAATCCTTAGTGAGTTTTACCTCTTTACACTTCTTACATACGAATACAGAAATGCTGAAATATGAAAATTCATGCTTCACAAGGGCCATGGAACATACTGGCTTTGATGGAGAATGCTTTCTTTGCTTTGTGTCCATTAGGTTTTACTGTGTCTGAAGAGATGCCAGATAAAACACCAGGTGGTACAGAGCCTGTGCCCAGAAGTGAAGGTTAGTAGTTTTCTTCTATTTTTTGACTATTGAAAAAAAGAAGCATTGTGATTTTGTGAAGAATTTTTCAAGTCAGAAAGTGAATTTCCCTTACTGGCCTTAAATTTAAGGGAGAGCTCAATTAGTATTATAAGTGCATGTTTATCTAAATAGCAGGAAATTTTCACTTATTTTTTATTATTTTAATCTCTCCACCCCTCTCTAGCCCACATCCATGATATTACTAAAATATATATTAAGGGGGGAGAGCCAGTGGACTGATAGGATTTTAGCACTGAAGAAGATGTTTTGTCCCATTTTGATAAAGAGATCTTGTTGACTGAGGCCAGTTTTTCATATAGAATACTTGAGTCTCACAGAACCCAAGCTAACATTTAAGATGTGGGATGATTGATATGAGGAGGAATTGACAATGCATGATTTTCACTAAAATCAGTGGTGAAATGCTCAGTCCAATCACTTTTTCTTCTCAAAGTCCATTAACTTTAAATTCCCACATCTGAATGTTTGCTACTTGGTGTCAGGGAAAATTTATTCTTTAAAAACAATTGTAACCCTGCTACAATTTGAGTCCTTTCTCAAAATCACTGCTGGATGTGTCATTAATACATTTTGTAGAAATTTACTATTTAGTGTGAAGGTTGTGAGGTGTTTCTGACAGTATTGTGTCAAAACTTATAGTAACTCTTGTATACCTTTGCTTTCTAGATCATTGCTTCCTCACACAAGGGCTGTATTAATTCAAATGTGTGTTTTAGTTAGACTAAAGCTTACAGCTGAGGCTGGTCTATTCTATCCCTCAAGAAAGACATCTCAAAATTTAATTTTAAATATTTTTGTGGCCTTTAAACTTCCATTTTGACATTTGAAAGGCATGGAAGAGCATACTCCAATAATAACTTCAAGAAGTGCATCAATAACAGCAAAAAAAGGCATTTCTCCTCCCGTAAAGGACATTAAGTTATGCTTAACTGCAGAAGTTTTTTTTTAAATTTACTGTAAAGCTTAGCACATGTTACTAGGAGAATTCTCAACACAAGAGGAGAAGCAATTACAGCTAGTCTTCAAAGACTAAACTCTCTCTGATTCTCATGTTGTGTGTCCCACTTATAAATAAATACATATGCTAGAAGCACTGTGATGAATCTGGTTAGAACAAAAGCCTACAATAAAATATAGCTAACTATAATGATGAGATTATTCCGAGTCTTCATTTTCAAATTACAGTTATCATTGTATTCTGTTATGATAAGAGCTCATGATAAGAGCTCATAAGAGCTCCAGCAACTTGCATAATATATGGTTGCTCAGTTGGTTAGAGCATGGTGCCAGTAATGCCAAGGTCGTGGACTCGATCCCCGTACAGGCCATTCACTTATAAGTTGGACTCTATAATCTTTGTGAGTCCCTTCCAACTCAGAATATTCTCTGTGATTTGGTGTGCTTTAACAAATGCTGTGTTTAGTAAAACAAAACTTGGTTTAACGTGGATGCTTTGTTTTTAATTGCTCTTTTGAAACTAATATTTAGATGTTAAAAAAAGTAAAATAATGAATAAAAATGAATCTTCACTGAAAAACCTATTCTTATGTCTTGATGAAAATGCTCTACTATACATAAAACATACTAGTGTCTTCTAATGATACTAAATCATTGATGCTGGAAGTTAAAACTTTGAGAGTTTTTGCTGTTTTGTTGTCATAAATACTTTCAAAGCTGTTATGATAACATTTACTGAAAAAAATTGTAAGACATATATGCCAGTGGCTGCTCTAGCACAGACTTAAAAGATAAACTTCTATAGTTAGTCTTTGATCATATATATCTCTATTTACTTAGCATGTATACAGCTAACTAATATGTAGAAATGTTTCCATAGTATGACTGAGTCAGAATTGAGAAGTGGGTGTTTAATTTCTCATGTTTAAAATATCACTGCTCCTTACATACATAACTGTTTGTGGACTTTTGTAATTATTTCCAGGCATCTTATCTTCTTGTTACTACCCGTTTTTTTTCCAAATAAATATTCTTGCAATCATTGGTTAAAAGAAAAGAAAAAGGTATATTTGTTGTTACAAATTTCTAACAATTAACCTTGTATGTTTATCAGAGTCAAGTTGGGTTGAGCAAAGTGTCAGCAAGTAACTGATTATCTGGAAACTTTTAAAAAGTCAGTGTTTCTTTAACCTATCAGTGCCCCTCCCTGCCCCTCACCCACTGACCCACTGCTCCATATACTCCAGTTAAGCCATGAAGCACACAGAAGCAGACAATTGAGAAAGGAGTTTCCTGTAATTAAGTTACTGTAACTTAGTCCTTGCCTGGAGGGTCCCCAGTGGGTGGGCAGACTATTTGCTTTTCTATTACCGCTTCTGTCAAACCTTATAGAGTCAACAGTTATATTTATAAATGTCACTGCTTGCTTTATGTTATCAGGAGAAAAAAACCCAGGATCTGGAGATTCTGTTGTTGAAAAGATGGAAGTGCGTGCATATCATACAGGGAAAAATATTTTTCAAGAAGCTTGTGTAGCTATCAAGGAGTGGCAGACAAACAAAACAAGAAAACTCTTACCATGATCCATGTATAACTATTTCTTAACTGTTTTCCTTCAGCAAAGCTATTATATTCCATTTACAATGGATACATTTAGAACAATGTACTATGTCAATACCAGGAAGTGGACTGAGTGTATTTCTGTTTTAGCTTGCAAAGGAATTAGCATTTGTTCTGCTTGTGTTTGCTGAAAAACTACTCTTAAACTTCTAGTATAGTTAACTGTTGGAAATTAGGCTGTGACAGGAGTACCCCACCCACTGCACAAATTCCTCCTCTCACTTAACAGAGAGGCTGCTGTGGTTCACAGTGGCTGGTCATGATGGTATCTGGAGCTGGCCAATTACTCATTTGCAAAAATTCAGGGGAGTGATCACAGATTTTTTTTTTTTCATCATATATTATCTATCTTATTGGATTAAAACAAAATTTTTATAGCTTACCAAAATTTTGATGATGCCGAATATTTTTCATGAAACACAAGTGTTTCATCTGGTGGATAGCTGATTTTTTTGTCATGATACCTACAAACAGCTGTTCATAACATAGCTAAGCTTGCTTCAAAGGAACCAGATGAGGTCTGCCTTAGTATCCATTTGTAAGACTCCCAGACTCAAAGTTTTTGGGATATCAGTCGAGTGCTACCTTAGCAGTAGCTTTGTGCAAAACACTAAGAAAAGATATATGGATGTCGGAACCTTTAATAAGTTTCTCCAGTTAACTTGACTGCCTGTTTTTCTGTGCCTTAAAAGTAGACATAGTTGAAGAAGATGTGAGGAAGTTAAACTCCCACAAATTCTTCTTCCTTTCCCTCTTCCCACACCACCCTTTTTCATTAAGCAAGAGCCATGACTTCCCACAGCTGGATCCTCTCTACTGACTTCGTAGTTCACACTTGCATCCTGAAGGAAACAAATGTTACACCTGGACTTTATAAACAGCCACTGACAAATCCCTGTGGACAACAAGCTTATGTCATTGTAAAATATCCTATAGTAACAAGTTGTGGTTTTCCTTGCATTGTGTACTGATGGCACTAGTGGGAGCCTACCAGCTGTTTCTGTTACTGTTTCTGATAAGAGTAATTCCATTTTGTAACTCCTCTTACTTACGTTTGCGTGCTATTTCTGCTGTAATACGTAACACTGCACAGGAAAAACATGCAAGCACAGCCCAATGGATCACACACTTCAAATGCCATGAAGAAAATAGCATGAGTATTTCTACCTCCAACTTTTTCTAAGGCTGATCCTTTCATGGCAGGAACACAAGGGTATGATCATTTAGGTTAGTAAATGCTGTGTGCTGCCTCTTGCCCAGTGTTGTGTGGGCTTTCAGTGTGTCATGTTTATGGAGAAAGTTGTTACGCTTTATTACTATGCCCTTTTTAAAGAAACACAAGTAAATGAGAAAATGAAGCATCTTATCTAAAGCTTTTTCAGATCTTATGTGCATGTGAAGTCATAGACAGCTATGATAATAGTGCAGTCTTAGGCTTAATGGTACATCACTGGGCTGAGATGGACATAAAAACATCTGTGTGCTGACACCAGATGGGTGAGATGGAACATAAAAGGTCTTGGCCATTTATTCAGAAAATGGTGGGTGTTGTAGACTTCCCTGCCAAAGGATATTGTGAATGTAAAAAAATCACTTGAGTTGAAGGGGAAACTAGAGAAGATAGTTTCAAATGAATGAGCCACTGTGAACCAAGGAAATAACTTTAGCTGAAAATGGTTGGAAGCTAAAAGAATGCTGGGGAAAAAATAGTACATGTTATATTCTCACTGTCCTCAGTAATATAATCTTCCTGTGCCAGGTTCTTATTCTTTAGCTACTATTCATAGCCTCATTTTCCAGCAGCTTTTAATCCCCCCAAAATCATATCTTGATGAAGGAGGAAGCGTCTGTATAAAGACAATATCTGAAATTCTTAACCCTAGTGTTTATAAAAGGAGGTGGTGAAGCCAAAGCAGATTTGGAATTGATTGGAAATGGGAGAAATGCAAAGTGGAAGGGTGATGAAACTGGATATTCTGAGTCCTCACTAAATTGTTGGCCTCCCTCTGTACACTGTGAGAGGGTGGCACATCTTTCTTTGAAAAACTGATTGTAGACTCTTGTCATAATACATAATGACTCTTGTTGTAACTCTCTTGAAATTTGGGCTAGCTCCAGTTCACTGAAGTTGAGTACTAGCAACAGCCAAAGGAACTTGCTTTGCTGCAACCAGACTGTTTGCAGCCCCTGTACTGTGCAGCACAGCTCATATTCTCTGATAGTGCATGATGCATTTAACCACAACATTGCGTTAACTGACTATTTTCCTGAAAGCGTTTTGGTGAATTTTCTTAGTCACTGAGCCATGCTGGTTGGGTCCCACTTTCTTTTTCAGTTGCCAACAGGCAGTAAACTGGATGGGCTTCTAAAATTCCTCAGCT